CACGGAACTCGGGAATGCCTAACACCTTCTCCCGGGTTAACAGAATTCCTTATCCGGATTTCTGGTACGCAGACTGTAATATGGAGTCATTCTTTTCCTCGATTCGGGATTAAAATTGGTGACTTGGGACACCCTAAATCTCCCAAGTGGCGACTCTGAAATAAACAAATAAATCCCCTTTCGATTGTCCTTTAATTGGAAAAAACTCCCTTGTGCCCCTCGCGGGTGCGGAAAAAGGAGGTGTGACAATATTTTATGAATAATTACAGTTGTTATATTCAACGGTAATTATAATTTATATACAATCAAAAATACTATTATTATGATTTTTTGTTGATTCAAATTGTTAATATTAGCTCATTATAAGTTTTAAATAAAGAAATAATTTAATATGCAATATTTTAGTTGAATTACATTGAATCACTCATTAGTGAGATTTGATCAGCAATATAAATTACATCGAACTTCAATTACAATAAATTATTATAATCAGGTTCAATCATATTTTTCTTTTTCTTGTATTTGGACAACCAACTTTTCAAGGAACGGATTTGTAATATATAAAATCTTGGTTGACTTAAAATTCTAAATATTAGGACTTCCTACTTTGTTGAATAAAGAGATATTTAATAACTAAAATCTTAATTTATTTCAAGATCCTAAATATTAGGAAAGTAAATTTTTACAATTTTGTCCAATGTAATATTTATTTTTAAAGGGTAAAAAAGGCAAACGATGTTTCACTAAGAGCCTTCGTGCTTTTTCATATCTTGTTTTATTCTAAATAATTTTTTTACATCTCAATAACCATTAACAAGTGTAACGTGAATTTTTGTTCCGTATAAAAAGTTTCACTTTAAATTAATCTGATGGTTAAAACTATAATATGAAAAGACATGAAATAATCTATATTATTATCGATATAAAATAATAATTACCTCTTTGTCAACTAATGTCAAAATTTTTCGGGTGCCTTGATTTGTTTTATTGTTGAAATCTTTTACTATTCCACTCCCAAACACTAACACTCGTATTACCTAACATGAATCAGATTCTCTTAGACTATTTATTGGGACACATTGGTATGACAATTCCTTTTCACTGGCTATCGCAAGTCTACCTAAAATAAAGCATAAGAGTTTTATAAGTTATCAAATTGACTAATTTAATAATTGGCTATTTTTATGATATAAGGAAGATTGTTTACCTGAACGAATGTAATTGTTGAAATCTGAGTGATTCAAGCATGGCAATTGCAAATATCGCAAATCATTAATATTACACAGAATTAAAGCATATCGTTTAATTTTTAATTCTATTTAAAATAAGAAACTTTAGCTGGCATAACAATAAGTATTTTTAATCATACAACAAAGAAAAAACGATACTAATTTAAGTAATAAGACTTAGATTGAATGTCTAAACGATTTTATGTGATGAATGAATTGCAATTGTTCAATAATTTGTATTAAATTTGTAAATTACGTGAGATGCGAAATTAGCCACGTCCAAAACATGAAACAAAAATTATATAATAAAAAGTTGTTAATGCGACAATAAAGATAAATTGTTGATGCAACAATAAAAACTGGTGCATGCAAACGTGTTGCAAAATACGAAGTAACAAAAAAGTTGATATTAGTAATAGAAACAAAACCTGGAATTGCGGTGTTGGAATAGGGCGAAATTTGACGATTAATTTGTGACATTGTAGCTTCTTTTATAGAAGTATTTTGGTACACAATTTACACATAAAACAAATTATATGCTCGTGGACAATCTAATTACAAAATTTCCTAGTGTACGTGCGTATTTACTTTCCTTGTATGACAAATAAAGTCATTATTGAGAGTTGAACAAAGTAGTAAAAGTTTAGGAAAAAAGTTGTTAACTATTCTAGTGTACAAAAAAATTACCAAACATTTACTACTCCAAAGAGTAGGGAATATAACCAAAGTCAAATACACATACGGTTAGTTAATGAGATTGAACGAAGTAGCTAAAGTGTAGGAAACTGTTTTTATTTACTTTCTTTGTTTAAGAAACGTGAAGAAATTTTTTACCAAATAATTAATGCAAACAAAAGAAGTCATTTACAGTGGAATCAAGGGAAGCGAAAGTTTAGGAAAAAGAATTTATTAACTTTCCTTGTGTAAGAAGCATGAAGAAAAATTATAACAAATAAGTAAAACAAAATTTAATAATAAATAATTCTGGCAAAAATTTATCAAATAATATCGTCCAATGTGAACTCTATGTTTTAAAAGGGTAAAAAAAGCGAACGACACTTCGCTAAGGGCCTTCGTGCTTTTAATATAATATAGATATAGATATAGATAAATAGATAGATAGATATAGATATGTGCACTATTACAAATAATTAAGCTTATTCAGGATTTAAATTTGATAGATCAACCTGCTCTTACTATTGAACAAATTACACTCTTGAAATTATATATTGAATCTTTTTTGTTGTTAAATTTTTTATAATTTTTTTACATAAATATGGAAAATGTTAGAATTACTTATATTTATTAACTATATGATACATCTTTCACTGCTACTAGATATTTGATTTGATTGTATAACATTTTAAAATTACAAAAGGAGATTAGAGATTACTCGGGGATAGAGTAAATCAAACCAAAAAAAAGTACTTATTTGAGATAAAAGATGGACATGAACATTGAATCCTCAATCTTACTTTTGGAAATACACTTAATAACCATTATATCATGAGACTTTTTAATCTTGCGTGTAGATATATATTATTTGAATAGTTTTAAAGAGATATAATGGTTTTTTTTTTGTTGGTAATGAGATATAACGTTATTATGTATGGTCTATGGAAAAATATAAAGAATGGCTTTAGAAAGGGCATATCTCTTTAACATTTTGCATGATATTTCTCCAACTCCCCCTTTCCTCTCTTCTCATTTCTTTTGTCTTGATGGTAGATAGTTTTCAAATTTTTTAATGATGTCAGCCAATAATAGGAGAGTTTCACAATCCCACCAATCAAATTTCCTAAACCGCTGCATCAAAATCCAAAACCACTTCTTGCAACTTGCAACTCCTGTGGACCCAAACCACACCTCCACCATACCTAAGTTCCAGAACTTTCCTCTCATATTCTGAAGAGAACCTTCCCCTCCTCCCAATTTCCCAATGAGAGACTACATATTAAAATAATTGTATAATTTTTTTTGATAATTTTTTTTTGGATAATTACATATTAAAATATTGAATAGAAGAGAAGCACAAGGAGGAAGATGCTCACTCCCCAAATGTCTAGAAGTCTAGAAACTTCCATTAAAACAATTTTACTTATTATTATCCCTTCTTAAAATAGGAGGTGAGTTGCTGATTCTTTCTATTTATATCACTTTTAACACTTACTTCCAAAGCTTCTTTTATCCATGGTGTCTCTTGTTTACTCAACTGCTTAACGGCATAAACTACTTTAGATTTCCAAAAGTCTAATCCAAACTTCTTTTCCTGATTTATACAGAATCATAGTACTTGATCAGTTTACATCCTTCATTTTCTTCCCAAAGGGAGTACAATCTTTTCTACTATTTTTCACTGCCAAACACTCCCTTAAATTTTGGATTGTCCAAGTCATCCTAACTTCAACTGTTACTGTACGATATTAGGTACTTACAACAACAACAACTACTACAATGATGGATCCATTGTACTCGGTGAAAGAGGAGTACGCCGGATCAAGTTCGGGAGGTGGCGGCGGTGAGCCACCGCCGCCGGTAATGACACCACCACAGCCAATGGAGGGGCTACACGACATCGGTCCACCACCATTCCTGACAAAGACATATGAAATGGTGGATGATTCAAGCACAGATCATGTTGTTTCTTGGAACAGAGGTGGTCAAAGCTTTGTTGTTTGGGATCCTCATGCCTTCTCCACTAGTTTACTCCCCAGATTCTTCAAACACAACAACTTCTCTAGCTTTGTCAGACAGCTAAATACTTATGTAAGTTGTCAATCTAGTCTTTATAATGCATCTTGAAGTGGGAAATTTATTTTTCAAATTAGTATTATTATTGTTATGTTTTTTGGTGTATTAAAAGTTGCTCCTGATTGCTAAATCTTTGTGAACACACAAGTGAATCCACCTTATGGCCTGCTTCAGTGTTTACAAGGTTATTAGTAGGAAGGAAAATCTCAAAACAAAATTCCCACTTTTACCGTTTACTTGCCTATGTGAAACTTACCTTTTAGAATTGTGTTCTTAATTTCAGACAGAATTAAGATATTCAAAAAAGGTCCTCTCTGATCTGGATGTTCAAATGATGCTTCCTTCAACTTGTCAGCTGGTTGGTAAAACCTATTAGTAGTAAAATATTTACCATACGGTCCACAAGTTGTGCGGACCAAAAAGAAGAAAAAAAAATTCACAAGTCTCAAGATTCAAGAATGGTTTGCTATCAGAAGAAAAAGAAAAAAGATAAGATAGCTCTTGCAAAATTGGAAGATAATACTGAGCTGTAGATGGAATTTGATTGTTGCAGGGATTTAGAAAGATTGATCCAGAGAAATGGGAATTTGCAAACGAGGCATTTCTAAAGGGAAACAAGCAGCTTCTAAGGAATATCAGGAGACGAAAAACAACTAATTCTCAGCTTCTTCCTACAGAACAAGCACTTGGTCCTTGTGTTGAATTAGGAAGGTTCGGATTTGACGAAGAAGTTGATCGATTGAGGCGCGACAAGCAAGTTTTAATGATGGAATTAATGAAGCTTAGACAGCAACAACAAAACACTCGATCTTACCTTCGATCGTTGGAGGTTAGGTTACAAGGGACAGAGAGGAAGCAACAACAAATGATGAATTTCTTAGCAAGAGCTTTGCAGAATCCCGAGTTTGTCCAACAGTTGATCCGACAAAAAGAGAAAAGAAAAGAACTAGAAGAGGCTATAACTAAGAAAAGGCGACGACCTATTGATCAGGGGCCTAGTACATTAGATGTTGGAGGATCAAGCCGTCCCATAAAATCAGAGCCTTTGGAATTCGGAGAGGGTAGTGGATTCCAAGTATCCGAACTTGAAGCACTTGCATTAGAAATGCAGGGATTTGGTAGAGCAAGAAGGGACCAACACGAAGAAGAGACGAGAGAAGGGCTCGAGCAATTTGGCAACACGGATAGAGAACTCGATGAGGGATTCTGGGAAGAGCTATTTAACGAGGAGGACGTGTCTGGAAATGAAGATGGTGAAGAGGAAGATGTAAATGTCTTGGCAGAGAGGTTGGGTTTCTTGGATTCGAGCCCTTATTAGAAGTCCGTAGACTAATTTAGTTGGTGCAATTTTTCAAAAACTCGTTCATCTGCTGGATCATATAAAATCTTGTATGGACCTACATTGTTTTATTTACTACTCTTACTATTTAACTTATATTTCTTGACTCTGTGTAGTTGGTTCTGAAGTGTTCAATGAAGAAAGCAGCTAAATGGATCGACTGGCTAATCTTTGGTAGTTTTTCTTCTGGAACCAATATTCCAGTCCCTTTCTGTGTAAATTTAGTCATAACATATTAGGATTTTAAATGTCATTTCAACTTTTTGCAATTGACAGAATAGATTTGTGAAGCACTCAAGAGTCGAGTCAGAAAATCGCTTCTTGGTGTTTCTGGTTACTTTAACATTCTGAATTACTGGTTCCCTTCCACTGCCTTTATTACATCTCAACTTCTCAGTCTTGTTTTTCTCTGGAATCCAAATGCAGGCATAGGTTATGAAGATTTTGGTCAAGTCTATTGGTCTTTCAAGGTTATTGTAAATTCTCGTTTTCGGTGATATATTGCTCATTAAGTAATGTTGCAATATTTTGTTTATGTGGTTTTTAGATTGCTGTCTTGATGATGAAGCAGTTAAAAGTAGAAATGCCAGTTACTCCAGAATCAAGATTTTATTGAAGTGGCCGTTTATAACTACTTTTGCCGGTAAAGATTGTTGTTGCCAGTTAGGGGTGTCAAACGAATGAGTCGGTTCGGTCGGATATAGACGGATAAAATATTCGACCCTACCCATATTTAATACAGATAGAAAATGGGTTAACCAACGGATAATATGGATATCCATATTATTTATGGCTTCTTGAATATAATCACTTTTGTATTCATACTCTTCCAAGCTTGAGGAATCCCTAATTTGAGTCCTTACAAATGTAAAGTTAAAACTATTGGTTATCTATTTTTAAGTGGATAATATGAGTTTTATCCATATTTGATCTATTTTAAAAATTTCATTATCCAACTTATTTTTTAGTAGATAATATAAATGGATAACGATTTTTTTTAAAATCCATTTAGCAACCACTACTGCCAATTGATGTGGCCGTCTCTATTTGTGAGAAATGTGTAAGTTCATGGTCCTAACAAAATTTGCTTCTTTTAGCTGGCTCCGTGCTAGCTAGCCAGTCTATTAGATTTTTTCTTTCCTTGCGTCTGTTGTTTTCAACCAGTCTTATAGCATGTTTGACCAAGCTTCTTTTTGGTCAAAAATGCTTTATTTTTTTGCCAAAAACACTTTTGGTCAAAAATTAAGGTGTTTGGCCAAGCTTTTGGAAAGAAAAAAGTACTTTTGAGGAGAATCAGAATCAGTTTTGGAGAAGCAGAAAAAAGTAGTTTCTCTCCAACAACAGTTTTCTGAGAAACACTTTTGAAAAACATATACTTATAGCATGTTTGGCCAAGCTTCTCAAGACAAAAAAGTGTTTTTTTCCCCAAAAGCCTTTTTTTTTCCTAATTTGAGGTGTTTGACCAAGCTTATTTGGGGAAAAAAATGCTTTTGGGAAGAAGCAGAAGCAATTTCAGAGAAGCAGAAAAAAATAGTTTCTTTCCAAAAGCAGAAGCAATTTTTACTTTTCTTCTTACCTAAAATACCCTTAACAAAATATAGTATATACCAAAATAACCCTTAAACCTAATACTTAGGATATTAATTTATAAATATTTCTTCTTATTTTTAGGAAACTTTCTAATATATAGTGACTTTAGGGGTGAATGCTTTTATATTTGTTGAAGGAATTTTAATATATTTAACTTATATTAAAAGAATTAAGTACTTTTTAATTTTATTTTCATATTTTACTTAAATAAAATGATTTTTTNTAATACTTAGGATATTAATTTATAAATATTTCTTCTTATTTTTAGGAAAACTTTCTAATATATAGTGACTTTAGGGGTGAATGCTTTTATATTTGTTGAAGGAATTTTAATATATTTAACTTATATTAAAAGAATTAAGTACTTTTTAATTTTATTTTCATATTTTGCTTAAATAAAATGATTTTTTAATTATTGCATGTAATAACAAAATTTTGATATTATTTATTTACTTATAATATTAATTATTAAGTAAATCTATTCATGTCCTTATTCGTAATTTGACACTTAAAAGCACTTTCTATAAAGCTTGACCAAACACAAATTATTTCTCAAAAGTGCTTTTCAGACTGATTAGCCAAACACAAACTGATTCTCTCCAAAAGTACTTTTTTCAAAAGCACTTCTCAGAAGTGCTTTTCAAACTAATTAGCCAAACACAAACTGCTTCTTACCAAAAGTACTTTTGAGAAAAACACTTTTGAAAAAAAAAAACTTCTCAAAATAAGCTGATTTTTGCAGCTTGGTCAAACGGGCTATTAGGCAAATACAAATTAAATTTAGGATTTAAAATCTTATTATATGTATTCGTTTTAATTCACTTTTTCATACAATTTAAATCGAATCACAATTAATTTCAATTGAATTATTGAACTAGTAGGTGATCTGTCTATGTGATTTATGGGGGAATTCATGCATTAATGGAGTGGTGACACTTGTTTACTGATGGAGTATCGTTGAAGTTCAGGTGAATATGAGGTCAAAGGTTAGTTATCTCATAATGGCGTGTCGACTCTGGCGTTAAGAGTATCATAGAAAATTTCAGTTGCTAGTAGTACAAGTTTCCCCTTCTAGGAAACATGTCAGGTGCAAAAATAGGAAAGCGTAGGTCATATCTATTATCTACTTTGCATAATAGTTTAGTGGGTTTAATGGCAGAGCAATTCCAGCGCATCAAAATAAAAAATTCTTGCCATAATTAAGTCAAATGATGCATTGAGAAGAAAATGGAGGGGCAAATGATGAATCTTATTATTTAAAAAAAAAAAAAGGAGAAAAATGGAGAGGTTGTGGACTTTCTTATTTATGTCATTGCTTTCTCTTCTTTTATTTCTTCACCCTTTTTTAGTATTTGTTTTGTTCTCTTCTTCATTACTACATATTTTTTTATTTATTTAAATAAATCATCGTTACACTAAATGGAGAAGATATTAGCCTGAATAAATTATGGTGATACGTGGACAAAGTAGAGAGAATATCATAGAGAGTGGAACACGTTGCGTCGATGGTAATTGAGGTGAATAATAAGCTTTTAGCAAACATTTTGTCCCCGTCTCCCTAACCCTTTGAAAGGTAAAAACTTATTTGCATCGGGTGTTTACACTAACTCAACAAATGAATGACATTTGTTATCTTATTTAATTATAATTAATGATTTTTAATTATAGTTAACTCCCATTTGTTTTGCACGCAATCTTAAATAATAATATTAAAATAATACTACTTACTTAATATTCTAGCTATTTCCGTTATGACCTTAAATCGAAAAGAATGAACAGTGCCGTTAAAAAGCAAATGAAGTATCAAACGGTAGAGCATCCAAATCTCCTTCTTTCTTCATACATCAAAGAAACGTGTTTTATTGAGGCGAGAGCATTGCTATTGCATTAATCAAATATTTTTTGTGAATATTTTATAATAATCACAATCTTTATTCATAAAATCTAATTATTTTTCACAATTTCAGTTGTTTCTTGACTCTCCTCCTCTATATAAGTAATCCCTTACTTCTCCTTCTTCCCATACTAACTTTTAGAATTACTCTTTTGATCTTTAATGGAGAAATAAAAAGGGTATTTGGATTGGCTTATAAAAAGTAGTTTTTAAGTTTAAAGCCAAAAGTTATAAGTTGGTAATACTTAACTTTTGGCTTTTGGCTTATTTTTGTACTTTTTATGCCTAAAAGTAAGTGTTTTTAAGCACTTTTTATCATTGTCAAACACCACATAAACTAAAAAAGTGCTTAAAAGCCAATAAGCACTTAAAATAAGTCAATCCAAACACCCTCAAAAGTACGAAGACAGATGTAGAATGCTAGAAAATGATAACATTGGTTATTCCGATTCTCTACCTATTTAAAATTCTGTTTATTAAAATTAAAACATCTAATAGACTTAGAACTCATAATAAGAACAGAGTCTCGGATTCTCATAAGCTTTTGGTCCTATATCTCTTTTAAGCTGGACCTTAGGCTCTTATATATCAGCCCTTAGGCTCTTTTTAGAATTGGCCCTTAGGCTCTTGTATATCGGCCCTTAGGCTCTTTTTAGAATTGGCCCTTAGGCTCTTTAAATTGGGCCGTTTCGGCCTCTAAAATGGCTATATAATTTCCCTAATTTCGGCTAAAAGACTTAGTGAAATTTTACTTATGCCTTAGATTGTGTTTTTGTACCCGTTGGGTTTTCCAAAGGCTCAATGTATTGGAATCTTATTAGTCATGACATAATCGAATACCTCTTAAGGTTTTTTCGAAGGCTGGTGTTATCGAAGCCTTTGGATTATTCGAGGGCTAGTTTATCGAAGCCCTTAGATTTTTCGGGGGCCGAATTTATCGAAGCCTCTTATATTTTGCTTTTGCCGGGGGTAGCCTGACTTAATTGGTTTTTCAATGTTTGAAGGCCTTTTATTTTATAGCGGAAGTTGGACGTCTCCGAATCGCATTATTTTGGCGTAGCCTTTTATGTGACCGTAGTCTTTAATATGGCCGTAGCCTTCGGGTTTGTTACTTGAACTTGTTTCCCGATAACTTTCCGAACTTGTTCGGAAAGTTAGTCCCCGGGTATATTGGCCTTGGCCTTTGTTTCGAGGGGGTGCCTCTTTGAGGTCTTATGAGTCCAAATTTTTGATGACTTGGATGTATTGACTGTCGATGACAGTCCCTGGGTATTTCGGGGTGCTTTGGCCCCTGAGCCTAGGATTGTAAGTGTAGAGCTCGTATGAGATACAAAGTGTTTTTGATATCACTAGAATGCTTCTCTAAGTAGATACATGTGTACATGTTTTGCCGCCGGGGCTCATCTATTATATATGGACACAGTTCATTTGACCGTTTGGCCCATTACAAAATTTTCCTATCGAAGCCCTCTTAGGCGTGAAATATCTTTCTCAAAAAATGTAACCTCCAAGGGTGATGCCCCCAATATTCGAGGTTGATCGAAAAGAAGCCTTGAATATTTTGTTGAATGTTCCTTAAGTGGTATATAGGTGTTGGCTCGTTAAAAACCTTATAGGTAAAGCCCTTTTGGGATAAAACCCAGAAAAAGAGTGCAACGCATGCTTTCAAACCCAAGGCCTTCGAGCTGAAAGATGCCTCGATATCTCCAATCGAACATCTGCAAGGAGTTAGTTTTAAATACAAATGGAAAAGGGGAAAAGGTCATACCTCAGCAGTAATATCACTTTAGCATCGATACATTCCAATTGTTTGGTAGTTGCTCGCCTTCCATTGTGCTAAGTTTGTAGGATCCTTTCCTTACGATTCAGAGGACACGGTACGGTCCTTCCCAATTGGGACCTAGCTTCCCTTTGTTTGGGTCTTGAGTATTGAGAGTGACTTTCCTTAGGACCAAGTCCCCGACTCTGAAATATCGAAGGTTCGTCCTTTTGTTGTAATACCTTTCGATCCTTTGTTTTTGCACGACCATTCGAATCAATGCGGCCTCACGTTTTTCATCAAGTAGTTCGAGAGAAACGTTCAAAGCTTCGTGATTCGAGTCCTCGGTGGCATGCTAAAACCTGACGCTAGGTTCCCCGACTTCGACTGGGATCAATGCTTAGGATCCGTATACCAAAGAAAACAGGGTCTCCCCCATTCTCGACTTCGAAGTTGTTCAATGCGCACATAGCACCCCGGTCAGCACTTCTCTCGATTTCCCCTCAGCATCATCTAACCTTTTCTTTAAGTTTCAAGTGATGGTTTTGTTTGTGAACTCAGCCTGGACATTTGCACTCGGGTGGTAAGGTGCTGATAGAATCCTTTTGATTTTATGGTCCTCGGGTAATTTTGTTACCTTGCTTCCGATGAACTACTTTCCATTG